CCGACCTCCAACCCCGCCCCCGCCTCCATCGCCTACCCGGCCTAGACGCCAGCCGCATGCCCGGCCCCGCCCCCTCACTCTAGCTCCGCCCCCAGTCGGTGCGGCTCCCTCGTCGGCGCCCGGTACCTCTGGGTCTCTCATTCCTCGCCGCACGCGGCGGCTTCGCTCCCCGGGAACACCCCGCGCCCGCCGCCCGTTCCCTAGCCGGGTCTGCGTGGTCGGCGCTCCGCTCCCGTCGCTCCACGCGCGCCCGTCTCGGCAACGGTCGTGGCCTCACAGCGGCCCGCGGGCCGGCCATGGAGGCGGACGGGGCCGGCGAGCAGATGAGACCGCTACTCACGCGGGTAAGCGCGGGGAGGCCGAGGCCGGCGCTGAGGGCGCAGACAAAGGCGGCGCGGCGGAGCCTCTCTCCGCGGCTGCGCGCCGCTGTCTCTTTGTGTGGCACGCGGGCCGCGGGGGGTCGGGGTCGGCGTTGTAAGCGGCGGACACGGCCAGCCGCCGGTCCTTCCAGCTCACAGCGATAGCCGGGCCGGCAGCCCATCTTTCCTTCCGAGGACACGCGTGCGCCTCGCCCCAGCGCCGGGGTCTGCTCGGCCCTCGCGGGCGCCCGGCACAACTCTTGCCGCGTGGACGACGCCGTCCTTCCATCGAGACTGCTCTTCCTGTGCTCGGCCGCCGCCGCCTCCTCTGGCCTGAGTCGGACCGGCGCTGCGTGCCAGCCCTCTGCAGTGTCCGGCCGCAAGCCCAGTCACAGAAGGACGGTGCCCGCGGCCCTGCGTGGACTACCCTCCTAGGCAAGCCCGACCGAAGAGAAGAGACCGAATCCCCTGAGCTGTGTGCTCAGCGTACCCTGCTTTCGCAATGAGGCTAGCGGCTTGGCGTTAGGGTTAGAGGTCGCACTTGCGACCAGGAGGAGTTCGCATTTAGATTGGGGGCGCGGTGGGGTTTCAGGAAACCCCACGTCTGTGATCATGGAGGATAGATAGATGTGCACCACAGAAAGGATTTTCTTCTGTAGGCTATGACTCAAAGGACGGGGTGGTATTAACTTTCCTGCTTCCAGATTTTACTCTGACCACCATAGGAGAGAAGGGTTACGAGGATAAATTTTTCCAGTCTTTGACAACTTGAAAAATGGCTTTTCGCTCTTTTTTTTATTCGGCTTTTCCTTAAGCTCTCTCATTTAAGATTATAAGATTATTGTGAAGACTGTGCAGAGTAGTCATTCATTACTTGAATGTTCAAAATCTCTACTAATAGTAGAGAGTGTTCAAATCTAAGTTCTCTAAATATAAAGGAAAACTTGGTCTCAGACAGTGAAGTCATTCTGCAGTGGTTCACAGTGATGGAGTATTGGAAACTCCTAAGGAATTTTTTTTATGGCCCTTGAACGAACTGTTACAAGCACCTTCTCTTAAGAGCATCTGTCAAGTACACTGCTGCTTCTTAACCATACTTGCACATTTTCAGTTGAGCAGTAAACAGTATCTGAGTTTTCATAAAGCAGGGTACTACCAAACTGCTTTGTGAAACACTGTCTATGCAAGCAGAAGTACTGCATAGTAAGGTCATGCACGCAATGGAGTCACTTTATTGAGAGCCTATTCAGTAGTGTCCAAAGCAAAACCAGTTTTTCCCCAATAGAAGCTGCATTTCAGTTAGAGGGGGTGCACATGACAAAAAAAACAGTGTTGTAGGAGTGGTATGGTGGAGCATTTTGGAAGGTTCTAATCTCTTAGCCTTTGGAAAGATAACACTTGGCTATAGTAAACTTAAACTAATAGAGATCAAATTCAGGAAGCTAGCAGTCTACAAGAAGCAGTGAAAATAGGTTGAGGCAGTGGACAACACTCTGATTTTTGGAAACTAGGACATGGACAGAGTTAAATTTTTAAGCTTGCCCATTTCACCCAATAAGTGGAAATCATAGAAGCGAGATGATGTTGGTCAATTACATCTTTTCTCTTTTGATACAGGGACCCACATTGTAACTCAGCTAGGCCTCTTAACTACAATTCTGCCTCAGCCACTCCAGTGCTAGGACTACAGGTGTGAACCACCATGCCCAACTACATGTACCCTTTTGTTTTGGGGGATTGAGCTAGTTGAGGTGGGGATGCTCATATACAAAGAGCTGTGATTTCTGGCCTCTGTCATCATGTCTAGCTGCAACTTTTAGTTTGGTAAAAGTGTCATCATTTTAGGCATCACTTAGGATTTATCCAATTCTGATTTTCTAGAGTAGGTTAATTATTTGATAGTCTTATTTTCTAGTATAGGTTATAACAAATAGTACTGGTTCTTGAGTTTTAGCAAATGAGTTTTTGAGCATTTTAGGAATGTCTCATGAAAAGGTTCTGTAGTTTCATTTTAGATTTTTTTAAAATTTATTTTTTGGGTGTGGGGGGGCGGGATTTCACTATATATTTGAGGCTGGCTTTGACCTCACTGTGTATCCCAGGCTGGCCTCAAAGTTGCAGCAGTCCTCCTTACTCACGGCCTCAAGTGGAGGAATTGTAGGCATATTTCACCTTACCCAGCTTCATTTTATGGATATTATCTCATGGATACCCTGCACTGGGAAAATAGACAAACAGAAGGTCAATGGAGTCATGCCTATTGAGTGACCACAGTGATGGCCTTTATATTCCATTTCATGAATCTGTTAGAGGTGGTTTTTTGTTGTTGTTTTATAGAATAAATTGAAGATACCAACCTAGTTTTTGTGCTTGTAATTACCATCCTCTTTGGGGAGATGTGGGTAGCTGTTGACAGCTCTTAGGGCTATGGCGCCCCAGGCATGTCACCAGGACTTCAGTTACCTTTGTCTTGGTAAATTTGGGACATAGTCCATGTAGTTGTAATAAAGTGAGAGACAGCACACCTGCCTCCCATCTGTCCAGATGAAACTGTAGACAGTTGGCTTGGATTGAAGGATTGTTGGGTCTGCTCATTGAGACCAGATGATGAGTGCTTTGAGAGAGTGGCCAACACAGGTTTTCTTTTGAGAGAACTTAGGGTATGAAAATTAGAGTATCTTCTTACACTAAGCTCTTGTTAGTCGAGCAGGCTAAAATCGAAAGCCAAAGTGCCTGGTGTTGGAGGAACATGGTCTATTATTTTAGTGGCATGTGACATACTAACCAATATATATTTAAACCTTCATAGTTACTTGTCAACATCCTGTAATGGTTGTTTTTCTTCCTCTTTCCCCTTTCTTACCTTACCACAAGTCAGATCTTTAAGTGGATAGGCCCCGCAGCTACAGAGTGACCCATTTACACAGAGGAGAATGCAGTTTTTTTTAAAATTTCATTCATGAGTGTTTTGTCTGCTTATATGTAAGTGCATCTCTGTAGTGCAGTGTTGGCAGAGGCCAGAAGAGGGTATCATATCCCCTGGAACTGGAGTTACAGACCATTGTTAACTACCTTGTGGGTGCTCGGAGTTGAACCTGGGTTCTCTGCAGGAACAGCTTAACTGCTAAGCTGTCTATCCAGCTACAAGAATACAGTTTTTCATAAAGTTAATGTTATGGGTTAGTTATAGATCTGTATAGTTTACATTTTTTGTTAAATTAATATGTATGTGTGTGAGGGGAGAGAGAGGAGGGAGGGAGGGAGGGAGGGAGGGAGAGAGAGAGAGAGAGAGAGAGAGAGAGACACAGACAGACATGAGGTCAGTTCCACACGTGGGAGTTGGTTTCCAACTCATTTCCACAGCCTCCTGGATGCTAGGATAATGGACATGCCCCATCTTCCCTCTGCAGTTACCATTTTTTGTGCATGTAATAGTTTTTAGTTTTGCAGTAGCATGTGTCAGTAAGAAAACAATTTTACTAACAGTGAAATTTGCTCCTGCTTTATTTACAAAAGAGTATCACATATTTTGTTGAGATTTAAGATTCAGAAATTTAGAATTGTTTGTATTTCTGATGTTGAACCACCAAGGATATTGTGGCTGTAGTAATGCAAAGGACTGACTTTGTAAAGCATTGCTAGGTTGGGCTTATGACTGCTGTAGAAGGAGTGGATTAGGACATTATGTGGTTATAATGTAGATTTGCATTTTATCTGGTTGCAGATGTGCTGGTACAGACAGGTTCTCATTTTGACTGTTGTAAGCAGATTTTCAAATTTCCTCCGGACAGGATATTTTAAAAAAATTTTCATTTCCTTAAGGTGCTGTTTGGATTTTAATGAGGTTAAAGGAGTATTACTTTTTGAAAGTGAGGGGTGAAGCACATTGTGTCTTTTGTAGTGAAAGGAAAGATACACATTGATCATACATGGGCTAGTGTTTTGACTCCCATTCTGTTCCCATTTCTGTGGAAATCATCCTCTGCTTGTGGATTCCAGGATTGTGTTGCTTACTTTTTGTCAGATTGCCCAGTTTGAGAAGTAGTTGAGTTATGCATCATGAATGATCTTTATGCTTAAAAGATGTCTTTATCTTATTTGATTAGGAGGGAGTATGGAATGGTTTCTAAAGAGAATGACTAAAGGGAAAAGATGATAAAATCTTTTTGCTCATAATTTACTATAACATAACTAATTACTTTATGCTTTGGTACGTATTCTTTTATATACACACTTTTTCTACTTAATAGTATTTATTTTTAAATATTTTATTTATTGTTTTTATTTTATGTGTATGATTGTATTGCCTGAATGTAGGTAAGTGCACTCGTGTCATGCAGTACCAGAGGAGGACAGAAGAGGGTGTTGGATCCCCTGGAACTGGAGTTATGGACAGTTGTTAGCTGCTGTGTGGGTGCTGGGATTCGAACCCGGGTCTTCTGCAAGAACAGCCAGTGTTCCTAAACCACGGAGCCATCTCTCCAGCCCCAATAGTATTTATTTTTTAAAAATTATTTTTGAGACAGGTCTGTATAGCCCAGGATGGCATGGTACTCAACTCTAGCCCAGGGTGACCTTAAACTTGTGCCAACCCTCCTACCTCTGCCTTTACAGTGTTGGGGTTATAACTGTGCCCCACTCCATAAATTTGCTAGTGTTTAGTTTGGGAAAGTACTGAAAATATGCAGAAGTGCTTTTGCTTTAAGGATTAATGTGTTCAGCAACAACAAAATGAAACAAATTGACGCAGAGTCTGTTGCATCACATGGTAGTGCTATAGATATTTTGAGTAAAAGTCCTCTAGGAAACTTTTTGATAGGGGATAATTTAAATTAGAACTGAACACTTTCATACTTTGCCATTGAAATACTACTTAGATTTAGAAAATACCTTTTTTTTTTTTTTTTTTTTTTGGTCGTTTTGAGAGACAGGGTCTCTCTGTAGTCCCAGCTGACCTGAACTCACTATGTAGCACAGGCTGGCCT